GAGCTATGGCCTCCAACTTTTGCACCCTGTTTTACTCAGGTTTTTTTTAACCTAGGCTGGCGTGTGGCACCGCATTCAGTTCAGTACACAATATCTCAAGTGTGTCAAACCCTGTTTCCAAGGGTTAAATTTAATTTAAAGCAGGGGGACAGAGCTCTCTGATGCTACTCTGTCCAACGAAGCTGTGCATCAGAGAGGGAAGCATCCACTGGCCATGGATGTGTACCTGCTTTCAACAGTTGAACAAGCTGTCCAATTGACCTGGTTTGCTTTCATGGTTCTTCATGATACTCCCCCCAAACCTTCCCACCGCGTTCTTGCAGCTGAGCCGCGCGTTTTCGTGAGCTTTTCGTTTTGCAGTTTGAGAGAAAAACACTTGTTAAAACACCTTCAACTCTTCGGACTTTTCACCTTACTGTTCTTCACCTTCCTTCCCACCGTGGCAATTGAGTTAACTGAAAACCAATGTCAGAGTGTGCTCTAGAGTGCGGAAGTTCGCTTGTTCGCCCTTGTCTTCTTCTACTCAACAGTGTCTAGCGTTTCTTGCTGTGATACAGGTTTTCCGTCCTGACCTCCCAACAGGCTGGGTTCAGTTCACCAGCGGTCGCAACAATGACTGCAGAGTGAAATTCATTGAACTGTATATACACTGAACAAGAGATACAATGCCTGGAACTAACATGGAAGTGGAGAATGGCCTCTTGGAAGTTGGAAGACCATTTTCCACTACAAACAGATGGTTTTCCACTTCCATGTTAGTTCCAGGGAGAGTGGCTGAGATAAAGATACCTGAGTCAAGACATGTCCACTATGAGGTCCATCGTGTTCCCTGTATTTGTGCTTCCGTGCCAGCAACAGCTGCACGAGCATGGCATGGCCGCTTCGTCGAGCAGCCACCTCCGCGTGCGGCGTGCGGAATGCTGAGTGTTGTATTTCGAAGCAGATTCATGCTGCGAAGACTGCACCTACGTCCCATGCAGAATCTATACAAGCCCAGTGGAGGAAAGCAACCACACGTAAGCCTGGCTTGAAAACACAAAAAGCACCGCATTGATTGATGGGGAAAGTTCAGGCAAGATGCGTGCAAGGGAAGCCGACCCTGCGGATCGAAGCTACACAGAGCACAGGGGTCTCGTGCAAAAGCGGCGAAAGCCTTGTCAAAGTGCTCACAATCCGGACTTGTTCAGCGATTGAAGATCTGAAGAGGCATGCACAGGCATGTGGATGCGAGCCACCTTGGGCCCTTGCCGTGTCCAGCATCATCAATCTATCGCCTGGCCTCGGAGTCTGACAAATGGCCACCGTGCAAAGGTTCTTTCGTATGTTTAACCATGTTGAACCTATGACATACAATCCTGGCTCAACCCGATCCGAGCACCCTGCTGCTGCATTAACTTTGCGCCAGCCAGAAAGGGCCAGCCACCCTGGCAACATCACTGAGCCAACCGTGAAAGCTACACGAACTTCACCACCATACACCCAGCCACGCTGCAAGTTGCTTTCTACATGTTCTTTTGAACTTTGAACTATGGTCCTGTGCAATGACCCTAGTAGCAGAGGCCTCAAGCTTCTTCTCCGCTGCAGGCCTCAAAGGAGTTTCTTCAGAATTCAGAGAGACGGCCGAAAGGAGTCGGGAGTTGGGAGCCCCTTCGTAGCGTCCTTGCTCCTAGTAGCCCTTTGTTCCTAGTTGCGTCCTTGTTCCTAGTAGTAAGGCCAGGAGTCCCTAGTAGCGTCCTTGCTCTTAGGAGTTGGGACTCATCTTACGTTGCCTCAGCTGACTCAACTTGCAGCCCCAGGATCCAATGGTCGGCTGCCCACCGTTGAAGGTCCTCTCCACGCAAACCTACACATCACAGAAAGTAAAACAAACTGTTTGGCTGCAGCAGGCGGATCTACCATGCTGGGTCCGTGAAACTCTTCAAAGGGTCTAACGTTATATTATAGAACAAACTACATGATCTGGGGAGATGCCAGAAATTCTTGACGCTGTGGTAATTGGCTCTAGCTAAAACAACAAGCTGACAAACCAACAAAACCTCTGAAACAAACTTTGTGTCTTCTCCCAGCGCACCAGTTGGCACGAAGTGAGGCCACCCCACGGCACAGCGCCCCAGGCGTGCGCAGCCTGTGGCCCTCAGAATGGGCGAACCAAGTACGGATCTTCCAAGAACGATATATATATATATACAATTATATACATTGATCTGTATGTCACGCTAAACAAATTGAAAGGACATTTCTTGGGGTGCCGGGCCCAAGGAAGGCCGACACAGCAGACCTTGGGTAGCAAAAAGTGACATTTTTGATCGCACAGCCAACCCGCAAAAACTGAAGAGCCGCTGACTGGAGAGCTATCCTGAGCCGTTGCTCCAAAAGTACTGAGCTCCCAAACGCCAAGTGTGGTGGGTGGTGCCCATGTCCCGAAACCCCTTGGAACACAGAGTTCATATCTTCTGGTTGAAAACAATAATATATGGCCTTGCGTTGTTGTCTTTGTGGTGCGTGAGGGTCTTGGCACCCAGTGGTTGTTGGGATCTCCAACATGTTTCAGCATAGCTGGACAGACTATTAGTGCTACACAAATACACAGCTACACCACAAATCCTGGCAACCATAATTTTGCTTGGCTACCTGGCGGCCGAGATCGCAAACGCCGAAGTGCAAGACCTGGCAGGACTCTGATTCTGCATCGCTCAAGAATTGGCATTCTGTCAGAGGATTATACATAGGCTTCAGCAGCCAGCAAGTCCCCGAAAAGCTGTCTAAACTTGTGGACCCATTTGCTGCGCGTTGAAGAAACCCACACGATGGTAGCAACAATGGCAGTGCAACGATGGTATGCCCTGGACTAAGAACTCAAAACCACACATTGGGCCGAGCCTGCTGCAAAGGAGAGACAAAGGCCCTGGCTTGGGAGACTGTCCAGATGACAGAAGTATTCCATTGTGAATCATATTCAATCGACAATGTTCAAAGGCGAAGCTACTCTAGCAATGCTTCCTCAATTGCATGTCAGTTGACAAGTTCGTCCAAACAAGTTGATTCACGTGCCAAAAATCTGATGCATTAAACAACCTCCTAGGGCCTGCTCTACAGCTCTGCAAGGAATGAAATATCTAAAACCGCAGCTGTCTCCGACAAACAATTTCACCTGTCATGATGATCGCTATCGGCTGGGCCTGGTGCAAGGCACACGGAAATGTTCATTCACAACAAGCAAGCAGGTTTCTTTAGAATGTGTTCTGCTTTGTACTGCTTTGCCACCAAAACTATCTCCAAGGACAGCATCTCCTTCTTGTTGGCATGCCCGAAACGATGTTGTATTATTGTTGCCCGATTAGGTTTAATTAATTACCGAAAATGCAAGGATAAGCAGGTAACAAAAGGGTTCATCATGTGGGCAACTGGTTCTTCTAGATGTTAGATCCTCCGAATCCTCCGGGAAAAAATGTGACGTCAAAATGTATCAACTACCCCACCCAACAACGACAGTCAGTTGTGCCATCAAAGGACACCAAAACGCCCGCGCAACGGCCGAACTTGATCGAGAGAATCTTGTCATTTTTTGGTTGTTGATGTTGATTATTGCAGTGGCCTCCTTCACAGTTATAGCTTACAGTACATGTTCACTGCTTCCATTGATGCTTGCAGAGGTGGCTTCAAGTAGCTGTTGGATCCGCGACAGACACCGATTCATTGAACATTCAAACAAATGAATTGAAAATACCACTGGATATCCAGATAAAAAATACAAGTAGATAGAGGTTCGAACATTTGGTCACTTAGTAGCGGCATTGGGGCCACGCCAGTCACTCACTGGGGGAAATTCTGTGGGAAATCTAGTTTTAACTTTTAACTTTGTGAACATCTGCAAAGTAGTTTCAGGAGCCAGACTCTGCAGAGCTGCATGAGATCCAACTACAGATCCACAGACTGTGGCACTGGCGATTTCTAGATTCATTGGACTCCAAAGAACGAAAAAGAGACACGAGTTCCTTTAGTCAAGCTTTGTAGTCGCCTATTCCACTGAGATCCTCAACAGGATGGCGCCTTGTGGATGCCGCCGTCGCATGGGCTTTCCAGGCTCCGGCCCGTGGCATGCTGTTTGGTGGTCCGAAATCTGTTGAAACGTTTGAATCATCAGGTGTACCCGATGTTCACCGAATGCAATTCCTATGTCAGTGTGGCTTCACGCGAAGAATCAAACGCTGGTCCAGGTCCTGCTACATGTAGCCGAGTGCTGTGCATGAGCAGGATAAGGACGCATTACATAGCACCATCAGCTATGCGTTGCTATTGCTAGACTGTTGAACTCTATGATCTCCTTCACACTGGAAGGCAGGAGAGAAATTCTTGAAAAGCATCGCAGCAGAATGACTTTTCACAGCTATGTAGAATGTCGATGCTGTTATTGTTGAGAGACTCATGATGCCTGCAATTCTCAGGCAAAGTCCTCTTCAGAAGCTTTCTAACAATTCCGACACAAGCAAGGGATGGGAAGGAACTTTTAGAATTCTGGTCCACTGCTTTGGATGTGGGTGAAAACCCTGTACCTTGCATGGTCACCTCAACAATGAACAGAACAATAGTCCTTTCGGGGGCACCCAGCATGGTTTTGCCCATCATTCTTGCCAGGCTTGAGAATCCTCTGCACAATTTTTTCACCTCGCTTTACAAATTGTCAACAAGGCTCTAGATCTAGAAGTCTGGGTGCGTCTGCCTACAGCAGAGCACCCGCTGAAAAAAAAGCTGCCAACCTGTACTTAGACCGATTCTGGATGGTGCCTTCAATGGACACATCTTTACAAATGTGGACCAATCTCCTTGGAGTTGATGTGAACGGTTGACATGGTAATGTTTCATGCATTCGTTTCGTCTGTGAACGTCTAAGACCGTCCCATGTCCGATCAGACCATTTCTGCATGGCCTCAGATTCGGAGGACCAACTCCACATCGTCAGCATCCACAGCCTGGTGCAGAATACACGGGGAAAATCATGTGAACACGTTTGGTGGTTTTGAGTGGCAGAAATTGCCATGAAACTCCATGAACTGTTCGATGAGTCTCAGAACGGGCCTTCCATGCATTCGAAATGTCTCCTGCTTGTCGCTGCCTCATTGCGCTGCCGCAGTGCACCCAAAGACAGCAAGGAGGCCTTGCATCTGTCAGAGTTGCAGTTCAGACAGCCAAAAAAGATGTGTCAATCTGCTTTGAGAATGCACCGCACAAGTAGTTACAGCATGTTACAGCCATATAGTATACAGTATATGATGGCTGCAACATGCTGAAAGGATGCATGTCTCATCAAGTCTCAAACAGTTTTGTCGGCAAAGCGTACGTGATGCAATCTCGCAATGGCAATGTTCTGTTCAGTGTTGCGTACACTGCAGTCTCGATCCTTCATGCCGGAAAGGTTCGCGAAGTTCTTTGTTCGCGATTCTGTCCCTGACTTTGCCAGGGCTCGAGCAGAAGAGATCTCACCCTCATCCAGACATCGGAGCTGGGGCAGGACGAGCTTGGGAATGCAGCGATTGCATTCACAAAGCTCCATGTGACGATACCAAAGAAGGTAGCGCGGCAGCACTCGAGCATTACGATAAATGACGTACTCGCGGTGATCCAAAGCACCGCCATGCTTCTCTTCCTCACCAAGCACAGAGTCAACGTCAGCTTCATCTGGCTGAAACCTTGGCATCGGGCAAAAGGCCCTGAAGACTTTGCCCAAGGATACCTGGGCCAACATCAAGCAACGGTGGCCATCAGCATCAACGTCCACATAGTTGTCTGCCTGGAGGTGTATGTGCAGAAAAAAAGGCAGGGAGGCTTGTCTTGAGAAGCTTAGCCAGTCACTAAGATTTAAAGAGGTTGCTCCTAGTAGCGATGCCAGGAGCCCCTAGTAGCGCCCTTGCTCCTAGTTCGAGGACTTCACCGCGCACCGAATTGTAAAAAGATCAGCCTTCACACCACCCACCTTGGCGGCCACGTCACTGAAGTAAATTCCAGGCCCAAAGAGCTTCCCTCCCTTCTCACCCGCAAAGGTTGGATCAAATCCATCTCGCAGAATGCCGTCGATTTGTCGAAAGCGACATCCGTGATACAACAGCAGGGTTGAGCTGACAGACTCTACCTGAAGAGCAACATTCGGAAGAAAAGGTTTGGGGGGGCCACTCAACATCAAATTTCAGAAGGTTCTCAAAAATCTCAAAGCACAAGTTCGACGCATGAACTCTGCTCGATCCTTTTTCCTCTTTGACCCTCTTTGACCCATCTGCCTGTTGCAGCGCGACACAGGCGGGTGGCACATCTGTTGCTCGCAGTGCTCCCATCACTTCAGCGAAGTATCGCCGCTCCAGTGCTGGTAGCCACAAGCGCTCCACGCGCAGAAGCTGCAAAGCCTGGCGACTCTTGGGAGTCAGGCCGACAGTCGACAGTAGTGTCCTTGCTCCTAGTAGCGATGGCCTTGCTCCTAGTAGTAAGGCCAGGAGCCTCTAGTAGCTTCTTGTTACTAGTAGCGATGCCCTTGTTACTAGGCCCGACAGCTGACAGGCTGTTGCAAGAGGCTTAAATGTCAACATCTGTGCACAAGCTTCACTAGACTCACTAGACTAGACTCACTACAGGCCACGGTTGGAGTGCCTCGGCCCAGAAGCAAACCTTGCGAGAACTCATCTGGTTTGCCATGCCACACAAGCCCTACAGTCAAAAGGCCACAAAGGCAAGACACAGAAGGCAAAAGCCACCAAAAGTTAGTCAAAAGCTACAAAAGGCAAAGGCTGCCAAAAGAAAACCAAAAGGCACCATAGGAAGAACAAACAATACCGCCAAATTGCAAAAAAGAAGCAAAATTGGCCATCATGGTCCCTCGTGAACCTTTCCTTTCTTGAACAGACCAAATCAAGAATCCTCCCAACGGATCGGATTCCACGCCTTGCACACTCTCCTGTCGCTGCCGCGGACTCTGCTGGGCACGGCACCCGTCGTGGCCAGATGCTCCCGGAAGCGGCGGAACTCACTGGAGCTTTCCAGCAAGACACGCCGCGAGGCCGAGGCTGCCGAGGGTGCCAAGGCTCCAGTCTCGCGACTGGACAGGGACATCTCACATAGCAATGTGACTGGCCAAGGTAGCAATGTGACTCTCCCAATGGTCTCATGTTCATGCATAATTCTGATGATTGGCGGTTCTGATTTGTGCCAATGTTGTTCGATGTTTCTTTGACCCATCTTTTGTGGCTCTGGATCCGCATTCTCACAGTTGGCCTCTTGAGATGTTTACTGCGAAAGTCTGGCCAAGCCAAACGAAGATTCAGTAGGCCAACAAACATTCAGACAAACAGCTTGGAAGAGAGAAAGTTCAAACACACCGGACAATGTGCGAGAGATTGCTCTCATTGAGGCTCAGCTTTCAACTGCACGATATACTGCTACATTGAATCAAATATAACTACAACCAGCTCAATCGTAAGGACTATTGACTATTGACTTTTGCTGGATAGACTGTCATCCAAAACCAAGTGACTGTCTCTTTCAACCAACTAAGACTTCTGCCAGCAGCTCTCCAGCATTCGCCACCGCTGGGTCCCAAGCCTGCGCCAAAAACATGAAGGAAAAAATGGTAAGGGCCCCCGTCTTTTTTCTTGTCAGTATCGGGTCGGTCTAGCTTCAATGAGCCTTCCTTCCACTGGCACCACGATCATCTCTTCACAAAGCTGACTATTGCATCTTCAACTTACAAATACTATAAAATACTGAGAAAGTCTGAATAGTATGGCATAGAAGGAAGTGGAGCCCAAGCACGCAGACCCTCGATTGATGCCGAAGGATATCCCGCAAGAATCTGCTCATGACCTGTCAAAAACAAAGACTGAAGCTTGGTAAGTTGCAAAACACATGACAATGTATCTGTCCAGGTGGCTCTCAAGAATACACGGAAAGTGTGAGTGTGTGTTTCCGCATCATAGACATAGAAGACTACTATGAACTGGGATCGAGGTTTCTTCGGCACTGTGGGTCCTGTGGCTGACCCGTTGCCATAGTTTCCAGGACCCAAGTTAGCGAAGTCGAGCATCTGAGCACCTTTCTTTATGTCGTTCTTGTCCCACCCCTTACAGTACACCTTACATCACCTCACTATATACTCCACACACAAAGAACACAGTGCGCAAACAGACCGACTTCTTGGCAAGTCATCCGAGTGGCATCGAGATCGACAAAGTCCACGCCCATGGATTGCACCTCCTGAAGATCGACAGGGGCACTCGCACTTGCAGCTTCACCCGTTGAAGGACATTCGGAGAACTGACCGAATATCAAATCTACTCCACTGAGGGCGAAGAGGATCACTGTTTGAATCCAAACAATCACTTGATGACTCTTGCATGAAATCAAGGTGTGTCACTGGTGGTGTCACCCAGTCCAACCCACCCAGGCAGCATTTTTTTGGCTCAGCAGCTACATTCTTTGGTTTTCAGAGCTGCTACACGCGTCACACCTCACACCTCCACACCATCCAGCACCTGAGCACAGCAAGTTTGTTGGTGATCCTTGCAAGAAGTTCAATCCTTCAACTAACAGTAGCAACAGTTTGGTTTTTTCTGTGAGTTCCGAAGCACAGAACATCAAGTCAAAACCCCCCCCACTCATTGCACAAGTCCTACTGATTAGAAAAGAAAAAGTAATCGCAGGACTTCACAGGCACTCCCTCCCGATGATGTGCGTCGCCTGTCCCATCAGCCTGGGCGTTGCAACACGCCAGCAATTGGTACCTCAACACACAGGTCCCTCAGTCCTCAAGATCATTGTATATACGCTCTAATCCGCCGACCCCAGCGCTGATGCCTAGGCGGGGCGGCGCTTGGGACACCGCAGGTGGAAGCCGTTGCCAGTGGATGTGCCTTGCGGTGTCAAGAGGGGTAAAGCCGTGGCGGAGCAGAAGCTATGGGCCATGGGTTTTTTTCTGCGCTCCGGCTGCTGCTTATGGGCTTCCGAAGGCGACGTTAGGCATTCGACGCTGCAGTCCAGCGTCATTTTTGGGGTGGAATTAGATGGTGGAAAGCTGTGGCGAAGCAGATTGCCGGGAGCCTTGG